TCATCCGTACTAGCACATTGTAAAACTGATAATTTAAAATGAGGAGCAATAGGAGTACTAACAGACTTTGCATCATGCATGTTGAAACGATGAAGAACTTTCTTAATGTAACTTTGCTGATTAAGAAATAACAAACCAGAATTTCTGTCTCTTGTAATCTCCACACCTAGAATCTTCTTAGCAGCACCAAGATCCTTCATCTCAAACTCACTACTCAACAGTTTCTTCAACGTAGTGATTTTTTTTCTTGCTCTTGGCAGCAATCAACATATCATCAACATATAACAGCAAGTATATAGGTGATCCATCAATAAATTTAATGTACACACAGCTATCAAATTCAGACCTCTTAAAACCATGTGACATCATAAAAGAATCAAACATTTTATACCATTGACGAGGAGACTGTTTCAAACAATATAAGGACCTCTTTAATTTGCAAACATAATCCTCCTTACCAGGTACTATGAATCCTTCTGGCTGGTCCATGTATATCTCCTACTTGAGCTCTCCATGTAGAAACACAGTCTTTATATCTAACTGCTCAAGCTCAAGATCTCGCATAGCAACAATACCGAAAAATATACGAATTGAACTATGCTTTATAACTGGAGAGAACACATCATTATAATCAACACTAGGAATCTGACTAAAACCTTTTGCTACTAACCTTGCCTTAAATCTTGGAGGCTCACTAGGAGACAAACCCTCCTTTCTCTTGAAGATCCATTTGCAACGAACGACCTTCTTTTGTTTAGGCAAGCGCACAACATCCCATGTGCCATTTTTTTGAGTGACTGCATCTCCTCTTGCATAGCGGAAATCCACTTCTCGCGGTCACCAGAAACAACAGCTTCAGTGTACGTAGCCGGCTCATTAATGTTCTCCACCTATTCAGCACAACTAAAGACATAATGAACAATATCACATTCCTCAATTAAACGTGGACGAGGTTTACAATTTCTCTTTGTTCTATGATCTGCAATAGACTGATTTTGAGGCTGCAAAACAGGAGGTGAGTGCTGAACAATATCATGAACATTGTTATCAACAATTTCAGTTTCCTGATCATCTACGTGCTCCACCTGCACGCTAACATGATGCTGCTCCTCATCAGAACCAATTAGAGAAACATATGTGGACAAGCTGTCATTAAACATAACAGATTCATTGAAAACAACGCTCCTGCTCATGAAAGTCTTTTTAGTTTTAGGATTCCATAACTTATATCCTTTAACTCCAGAACCATAACCAAGAAACAAACACTTAATGGCTCTAGGTTCTAGCTTTCCATTATCAACATGAGCATAAGCAGTGCAACCGAAAACTCTCAACTGTGAATAATCAGCAGGCATACCAGACCATACATCAATGGGAGTTTTCTTATTAAGTGGGATAGAAGGTGACCAGTTGATCAAGTAACAGACGGTGTTAGTAGCCTCAACCCAAAAACGTCTGTTCATACGAGCATTGGACAGCATGCAGCGAGCCCTCGAGATGATGGTTCTGTTCATGCGCTCAGCCACACCATTCTACTAAGGAGTGTACAGGATGGTGTGGTGCCTGACAATACCTTCTTCCCTGCAGTAATCATTAAAAGCATCCGAACAGAATTCACCGCCATTGTCAGTACGAAGCAATTTTACCTTCTTTTCAGTTTGCCTTTCTATCATAACTTTCCACTCCTTAAAAGCAGCAAAAGTATCATCTTTATTTTTCAGAAAATAAGGCCACACTTTTCTAGAGTAATCATCAATAATGGTAAGCATGTAACGAGCACTACCATAAGAGGGCTTACGAGACGGCCCCCATAAATGAGCATGTACATAATCAAGTGTACCTTTGATGGTATGAACAGATGCATTGAATTTTACCCTCTTGTGCTTACCAAAAATACAGTGCTCATAGAACTTCATCTTACCCACAGTGTAGGTATCCAACAGGTCTCTCTTGATCAATTCTGCCATACCAAGTTCACTCATATGCCCAAGACGCATATGCTAGAGATTAGTTTTACTTGGTTCATCATTAGAAACAGCAGCAGCAGTGACAAAACCATGTAAAGTATTTCCTCTAAGAACATATAACTTTATAGAATTCATATCACCTATCATATGAATAAGAGAGCCTTTTGATACCTTACACACTCCACCTGAATCGGAGTGTCTGTATCCCTTGGCATCAAGTGTGCTGAGGGAGATGAGATTTTTGGCCATCCCTGGTATGTGTCTCACATCTTTCAGTGTACGTATCATGCCATCATGCATCTTGATCTGAACGGAGCCAATGCCCACGATCTCACGTGGGTTGTTATCTCCCATACGCACGACATCTCCACTCTGCACAGAATCGTAAGAACTAAACCAATCTCTGTTAGAGCATATATGAAACGAGCATGCAGAATAAAGTATCCATTCATCACGACCAGCAACACAACCAGCAAAAACAACAAGAACGTCTCCTGAATCAGAACCATCAGCAGTAGCGAAGACAACAGAGGCCTTACCATCACCATCGGATTTGTTTTTCGGTTTATACGTACCGTTTCTTTTCTCCTTATTCTGCAGCTTCCAACAATCCTCAATGACATGAGTATCTTTCTTACAATACCTGCAGAACTTATCCCTACCTCTAGACTTCGAACAACCTTTACCGTTCTTGCTCTTGTCTCAATTATTGTTGTTGTTGTAGGTTTTCTGCTCGGGCCTGCCACTAACCTGCAACACTTCGCCCTTGGAGGACGACACATCAGACTGAACCATACCTTTCATCTTCTCCCTCGACTGGAGGGCCTCATATACTTCTGCAAGGGTTAGTTCATCACGGCTTAATAGTATGGTATCTCGAAAATTTGCAAACGAACTAGGCAGTGGGCATAACAGTAGAAGAGCTCAATCTTCATCATCATATTTTACCTCCATTGACACTAGGTCGGCAACGATCTACTTAAAGATCGATAAGTGGTTCATCACCGAACCACCTTCTTGCAGCTTGTGCGTGAACAACTTCATCTTCACGTGCATCTTACTGGTTAGATCCTTGGACATGCAGATCGATTCCAGCTTGAGCCAAAGTTCTACGGCAGTTTTCTCCTGCAGCACTTCTTGTAAAATATCATTATGTAGATGAAGTTGAATCAGAGACAGAGCCTTACGATCCTTCCGCTTCTCTTCAGCGGTCCATGACTTCTGCCCTTTACCTTCGAAACCATCCAACGCCTCATCAAGATCCGAAGATTGTGCCAGAATCGCCCGCATCTTAACTTGCCACAGCGCAAATCTCGTCTTGTAATCCAGCAGCGGTAGATCAAACTTCATCGATGCTATCGCGAAACCCTAATGTGAAACCAAGCTCTGGTACCACTTGTTAGAAACGATAGGCAATATAAACGATGAAGAACAGTAGATCAAACACAGGGGACACGAGATTTTAACGTGGAAAACCCTTCCAAGGAAGAAGGGAAAAAACCACGGGCACCAGCCAGCAAATCTTCACTATATCGGGTGAGGTTATAAACGTCGGGAATTTACAACTTTTCTTATCCTAAGACGACGGCTGACAGGAAGTATATATATATGGAAAACCCTAATAGGCGACGATCCATAATGCCCCCCCCCCGAGGCGCGGTAGGGAAACATGATAGGCTAACTTCAACCTACGCTTCGCTTCGGCCCAAGCCTCTAGCGCGACGGGCCTCGCTTCGCTCCGGCAGAAGTTAGCATTTATCTTGTACATAACTGAATTTGGATCACAACTCAACACCAAGAACCCTTCACAAAACTTTTCCAATATGTGACACCAGGGGTCAAGAGTACCAAATAAACCAAGGGTGGACAGGCAACCGTTGGAGAAAGGTTATTGATCCTCACTGAGGAGCACCGGTGGTGACCTTATTTTCTAAATTTTCCAACAATGACCATTGAAGATTCCTTGAATATTCTCCATCAGATGATACGCCATGGTCATCAAGTCCACCGGTAGATCACACGTGGCACATCAGTAAGACTGTCCACTTCATCTCGTTGCACAATTGCCACCATATGACGCACTGAGCCCAAGGAAGGTGCACAGTATCATCTATCGTTTGGTGAGCGACACAGTCGAAACATAGTATATATCAGTGTCATTGCCTCACCGGATGATACAGTGGCCTTGATAAATTAATCCGGTGTTGTTTAAACCTTAATTTTGGCTCCTTTGAAGTCCGATCTCACCCAATCTAACTTCTTTGAGATCCTTGACAAATTCTCAACCCGTTAGGGCCACTATTGAGCTGACTTGGCAGGCGATTCTCACAGGTGTGCATCCAAACACTCTCGGTTCCAACTGTCAAGTTATTTGCCTTAAACACCTTCAATAGTACGACCAAAGATAAAGAAAGTGTAACGGTAATTCAAGTGCCCTCAACACCAAGTATTGCACTTAGACACTAGCTTGTCCTTAGCCACTACCTTTACGGTTTCAACTTCATGGCAAAGCTTCATGTTCACTCCATACTGTGCCCTCAACGCTTAAGTTTGGTGGCCAATAAATTGACTTCCTCACAAAACAGACAAATAAATAAATAAATGGGTTCTGTGACATTGTTCACCAATTAGCACAGCTATTCTTCTGATGCAGAGGATTCAATGCTCATAAGCAACATTTTATCCCATTTAAATTTAAATGGATCCAAAAAGGGTGAACTTGAGAAAGCAAATAGGAAATTGCAGTACTCCGTGACTGACAAATCAAGCTGATGCTATGAAAGTTCACTAGGGAAACACGGCCAAACTTATACAGTCAGACTACATATGCTAATTATCATGCATCACTAAACCTAGAAGCAAGGGCAAACAAATTATAAGTTTTGAGGATCATGTGCTCCCTTGCAATGAGCACATCAGAGATGGAGATTGTACAACAATGCTAGGGCACAACAGGCACATCACCCGAACTATAGCTTATGTTGGTTAACCACATCAACTGACTTGAGTTAGAAGAATGTTACGATGCTGTTGCTAATCAACAACATAGTTCGGGTTAACTGCCAATATTCTGCTCTCTGATGTTCTTCTCGCGCCACTGCCATCTTCGGCTGCGGCTGCTGTGCCTTCATCAATGACTATAAGATGGCCTTCCCGCTGGATAAGTCTCTGCATATGCACATACATGAAGATTTTAGGTGCATCGTCATGCTATGTTGTGTTGTGTTCATTTAGTTAGAATGCACTCAGGTTTGGAAATTACCATACCATACCCAAACAGAGCACTGCAGGACTCACCTCTATAATGGCCTTGATACACTTCACTTCTTCCTTCACCTCTGCAGTAGAACTATATGCCCCTTTGGCATTCTGCTGCTCAACATACCAAATGATAAGATCCCCTTGCTTCATGCCAGCCAAACCATCGCCTGCATCACCACAGGGTCCAATAAGCAACAACAACAAATGGCAGATAACTTGAATGCCACAGCATAGAGAAACAATGCAATACATGAGGGAAGAAAATCTATTGAGGTTTCTAGTGTTTACATATATCATCGAATCATTCATAGTTCCTAAGATGATAGTCAAGAAATTTATTCAGTGTAAGTTGCAAAATAATTATTTATAGTCCAACAGAGACTAAAAGTTTGCTCGGATTACTTTCCACTTAGTGCAACTGCAATCCAAGTAAGAAAGCATGTCTCCCAAAAGCCAAAAAAAGATGGTTCATGTTTGTGTTGCTGAGTCATATGTTCATTAACAAGTTTAGCTATCTATCACAGTTCTTTTGTTAAGCAAAGCAAGTATAGGTTTTGAGCTGGACTGTTGCTAGGATAAAAATGCATGGGTATGGTTGAGTCAATAAGGCTAGAAGACAAAGTAATCCAAAAAGAAGTACCATCTTTCTTGACTGACTCTTCATGCTGCCTTAGTCTCATAACCAAAGCTTGAGTAACTCTCTGGAAGTGTTCTTCAGTTATTACCAATTTCTTCTTACCGTTATCCACTGCTTGGTCATTTTCTAGTGTTTTGACATAAATAACAAAACGGTTAGAAACAACCTAATAAAAAGACAGCCATATTAAGTTTTAACACTTGGAAACCCACCTGCACCCTGCTGCTGAGGAGCAGCATCTTCTTCAGCTGGCTGTCCAGCATCATTCTCAGAAGGTACATTTGTTCCATCTTCAGCATCTTGGAAGTCAGAGAGATCAACTTCACTTGATTCAACACTACACAAAATCAATGAAGTTCGCATCAATGACATCATTATGCACATATCGATTCATATAAAGGTTACCAGTTCAACCAAATCACCTGATGATGGATGTCTTGAGCAATTTAACTGCCAGGCGAACATGAGCTGGGAAAACCTAAAAGATTTCAATACCAAATGAAGTTGGTCACAAAGTAATGGAAATGGACAACAATAACAATGCAAGCAGCGTGAAGATCAAATATAGGTTGATCATATTGTCCATGAAAGGGCAAGTGACTTAATATATTCCATGATTCCATCAGAACAGATAGAGAAGTGGTACACGAAGAATATGATCCGCGATAGAAGTGAATTAGTATACTTACAACTCTTTCTAAATGGCTTCGAGCAATAGCTTCGGACAGCCGAATCAATGCTTCCAATTGCCGAACTGTCATCCTGTAAGCAACCCTAGTTCCAGGAGTACTGTCCCCTCTACGAAGGGTAACATACGACTCCACCAGAACTTTCTTTGCTTCTGAACTCAGCTGAAATGAAATAAAGATATAACTATAAGGCTACGAGAAGTTGAAGCCCATTTTCTCAAGAGACCTTTTTCAAGAGCACTAAAGAGGCAAACCTGAGGTTTCAAAGACTTTGCAAAAGAAATATAACGCTTCAGTTGTGCGGTGCTAAATGCAGGGGCAAGTGCCTCTTCACGTTTCTGATGGACTCTTACAATGTGATGAGCAATGTGGTAGTCAGTGTTTTCATCAGGTTCATCAATCATGATGTAGACCAGATCAAATCTTGAAAGAATAGCTGGGGGCAATGCCACATTGTACTGGAAGAGATTGCAGCAAACAAAAAGAATTAGATTTTAACAACTTTTAGTTTTCACATCATAACATGTAATGTTCAGATATGCACTTGTAAAATTTTATAGACATGAGATGAGAGTTACCTTAAGTGGTTTTGATTTGTCATAACGTCCTCCGGTCGGATTTGCTGCAGCTAAAATTGATGTTCGTGCATTCAAAGTTGCCTGTATTCCTGCTTTGGTTATGCTAATTGTTTGCTGTTCCATTGCTTCATGTATAGCGACCTACAATGGATGTAAGGAACAAGCCATGCTTACTTTTCGACATGAATGACTATTAAGAAAGGGAAAGACAACAGAAGCTTTTGGTAGACATACCTGATCCTTAATGTCCATTTTATCAAATTCATCGATACAACAAATGCCATTATCAGCTAACATCAGGGCACCAGCCTGCAAGCAAGGGGAGCATCAAACAAAACACATCAGAATCTAAGAGACAAAAATCATGACAAAATATTACAGACGTTTTAATGGAAGTTAGTTCTCTTAAGTAGGCATGTTTTCATGAAAGGATTATGAGAATGGATTTCTCTTTAATGCAATGATGCGCAGCTCTCCTAAGTATTCCAGAAAAAAAAAGAATGCATTTCAACTTCTTGATGGTTACCACTGTTTATTAACTCAGCAATTGTTACCACCCACACTAGAATTAGGCAACCAGCATGTACAGATTTCTCAAAGTTTTGTTTGCATTCAACAATACTTGTTCTGACAAAAGAAATATATTTCTAAATTTTGGTAGTACCTCAATACAGAATTCGCCAGTCTCTGGTTCTTTAGCTACAGTTGCTGTCAGACCAGCAGCAGATGATGATTTCCCTGATGTGTAAACAGATCTTGGAACAATATCAGCAGTATACCTGACCATTGGATTGAAAATCACATTTTAAATTTCGTTATGATTAATGAAGGAAAGAATTCAATTATATGAGGTCTATTTTAGTAAAACAAAAAATGAAAGCAACTGTAACACAGATACTCGGCATTTGAAGATAGATAATTCATATTATCATTTAACAAAAGATGTCCAAGCAGCTAAAAACCAACACTACATTCAGTAGCACACAAACAAGTTGGCAAGTAACATTCCTCATCAGCACAAATGCACGATTATTTTTTTTTTTTTTGCAAAATGTGTTATCTAGCAAAGCAGAAGCGCTAAGTTCAAATATCTAAAAAGTTCATCACAGCATAACAAGACATGATTTAAAGAAAATGCCATCACAATGCTTACTTTAGAAACTGAGACTTTGCACAGCTTGGGTCGCCAACAATACAGACATTGATGTCACCTCTAAGGTTGATCCCTTCATGTGTTATCTTATGAACACCACCCAAAAGCATAAGAAGCACTGCCCTCTTAATTTCTTGATGACCAAAGACGGTAGGACATATGCTATCAACTATCTTATTAAAGAAATCAGGAGTGTTCCTCATCCTAACAACCTCATCTTCCTCTTCTTCCTGCAAAAAAGATGGTTTTGAACATAAATATAACAACCAACAGTTTAGAAGCGAAAATGAATTGTTTAGAATACATCCAACAGTGCAGAGAAGCATAGTTCAGTATGCATCAACAATAAATAGCAAATCCACAATGAGCATACAACAGTTCATGAGTTGAAAAGATTTGAAGGAGCCTTCATATACTTGTCACAAGAAAAATACAGACAATGTAGCCATGGTTAAACCAGCCGTGAATATAATCTTAAAAACATGAGAAGTACTTCTGCAGGTTTTGTTTTCAGGAACAATAACCTTCCTATTCCTCTATGGAAAAGCAGTAGTTTTTAGATTGTGAAGTTAACTTACTGTGAATTTCTGTCTCTCACTGTCATCACCATCTGTGTCCTGATTCCTGATGTCCACTTCTCTCCTGCCATCTGCGACCTAATAACATTTAAGGAAAAACATATTGCTATGTCAAGATCACACTAATGAGATGGAACTTCTGTGCTCAAAACGGTTCATACCTGCACTGAATTTGCTACAAAAGCGAGGCGATAAGAGAGATCCCTAACTCCAAGGGACTTCAAGCCCTTTACACCTTCTTGAACACCTCCATTTTTTCGCTGAGGAGCTTCCCTGCGACACTCTGCTCGTTCGCCAGGTGAAGTTAGAGCCATAACATCAGGAACTGCAACAACAGTTCCAGTAAATATAACCCTGGAAATGCCAGAAACAAAACATTCAGTCAAATAAAGTCATTCCAGGGAGAGGAATGAAGTAAAAAAGAAGCTTCCTCACGTGTCCCCAGCTCTAGCCTTCTCAACAATCTCATGCCGCAGAATGACATCAAGGGAACGAGGAAGTGACCCAGCAGGTATCTCTTTTGATGTCTCCTGCATTCTGACCCGCTGCCAATCTGTGAATTTGCTTTCCTGGCGGAGAAGGGCCCATTTTGTTCGGTTCTGGCATGTTGCGTTAACGCATATTATCGGCTGTAAACAAGATACAAGAGTCCATCATTAGACACAATGCATTAGTGAAAAGATAATGGGGTACATGTTCAGACGTGATACCTCGGTGTACTTGAACTGCTGCTCCACATTCTTTACAACATTCCCACAGTCAAGGCATTTGAAGGTGCCTTGCAATAGTTCAGGCCGCACTTCACTTGTCCGTGTCACTACACCCATTACTGCTGTGAGCTTACCAATTTCAGCTGTCCCAAGCTCTCTCAGTCTGCCATAACAGTAATTTCAGTCAAGTTTTGGTTGACGATCTTGCAATTAAGCATTCACATAGAATTTATCAAAGAATTGCTGAAGGCAACCGCTTTGCAGAATCCATGAACCATGCTAAATCACAAGACAAAAACATTTTCTTCTCCTAGAATTGAAAAGGAAATAAAGAAAATAAATATAAGATCTACTGGGGCAGTAGGCTCTACTTTTTCAGCATCGGGATGTTATAGAAGGCAATGTTGATATCCTTGTTGGGACTATCATCTGAGATGATTGGGGCACGGTTCTCGCCAGCCCGGTGCTCCAACACAAACCTCTTGCATGCATTCCTTAAGCATGGTTCAAACCTGAATACAATAAAAGAGACCAGTTGTTAGAGCTTGCTTTGACACATTACAAAGGTCGCAAATTTAAAGTGCAAAAGTTTAGCAAAAATTCTATTGTTCTAATTAATTATAATGGAAGGACACATAAACAGGTTACTGAAAGCTGATAACAAACTAGTACTTACTTCTTTCTCCAGTCTCCACCAATCCAATCAAAATATGTTGATTGTCCTAAATTAAACCTAACCGAGAAATCCCCAAAGGCTAACCAAATCGCCCCAGCCCCATTTCTCTCACTTGGTGTCCATTCAAAACGTAGGAATTCGGACATGTTTCAATCTCAAATTCGAGTAACCGAACCAAACTTGCCCCCTTTACTTTCACAGATCCAGTTTGTACCAGGTGAAACCAAAATGTAAAAGGAAGTCTAGTCTCACCTGAGATACTCCTCGGAGATGGCCTTCTGGAGGACGTCGTTGAAGCGCATGACGTGCGCAAAGTCTACGTACATGGTAGTGGTCTCCCGCGACCGCATCGCCTCCATCTCCGCCTCGTAGAACGGCTCCCCCGCGCCATCCGACTCCTTGAATCTGCAGGTCCAAGAAAACCATCCCCACCGCCTCATTCAGATGGGCAGAACCGTAAAAGAAGATGACAAAAAAAAAATGGCTACTCCGGAGGCGGCGGCGGCGGCGGCGACTGACTCACCGCTTCAGGAACTCGAGGAAGATGTTCTCCACCCGCGCCGCCTTCTCGTCCACGTAGAACCCACCGAACGCCTCCATCACCGACGACTGCCCCTTGTGGAAGATTCAGGGTCTGGAAAGGCTTTGGATTGGAGATTGGCACTCTCGTCTGAAGCAGGGTTTGGAATAGGGTTGGGGAAGAAGAAGGGGGCGGCAGGTGGTGAGTGGTCTTGGCGGGAAAGAGGCGGCGGCTTGGCGCCAAATCTTCGCGCCAAAAAGGGACTCCGAGCGGGTGGGTCTCGTGCACTGGGTCCGTGGACCGGAGACAGTTTTACTGTCTGTGTCACGTGGGGACAGCAGAGCGGAAAGGAGCTGGCGTTCATTTCATGGGCTGAAGGATCGCTGTGGGGCAGGTGCAGTGGGCTGCGGTGTGAAGACGTGAAATGGGCTGGGATGCAATGGGTCGGAGTAATTCTGTGACACGCCAATACAAGAGCGCAGGAGGCTTTGCTGACGGACAGGTAGCACCCCGCATCGAGGTTGGATTTCCAACTCTAAACATATTTTCCCTTAAAACTGTGCACTTACTGTAGAAACTGTTACTTAGAGATTTTTTTTTGTAAAAAATAATGTTACATTAGATAAATTTGAGGTTAGGTTTACATTTCCCTCTCGCCCCCTCTCGCCCCAACAGGTGACTCAGGGCGGCCAGCCGCCGCCGCTCTTGGCGGCCCCTCCCGGCACCTCTCCGGCTCCCACCGTCACCCTCCGACGTGCGACGACGGTGGCCTGCGGCGAGCCGAAAAAAGGATCTCATCGCAGCTCCTTCTCTTCCCTCCTCCCCTCCTCCTCCCTGCTTTTCACGGTGCTTCTCCGGCGGATCTGCTGGCCGGCGTGTCGGATCTGCCCTCTACCTGGCCGAATCTGCGTCTCCCAGCGGCTTTTGGGGCAGATCTGTTCCTTCTTCACGCGGCGTCACCTCCCCACAGTGCTGGACGCGCGCGGTGCGGCCGGCCAGGCGCTGGCTGGCGCGGGCCTGGCCGGCTGGCCTGCCGGGGCCGTGGCCGGTGCTCCACAGCTAGGCCGCGGTGGTGGCGGCCGGCCCCCAGTCGAGCAGTGGCTAGCTGTGGCCGGCCTTCCCTCTCTAGCGGCGGCCAGGGCCATGGCAGTTGCTGCCATCCTTACTACCTTCAGTGTGCGCGCTCAAACATAATGACTTCCGCCCTAAGTTGAGCTACTCGGCTTCGCGATCGGAACAAGTTATCCGGCCAGCTAAGTGAGAGGCTGTGTTCAAAATGACTGAGGACCAACAACGATGCGGTCCTTAAGCGGCACAGATGGAATCACATGAGCCAACCTACAACATAAACTCCATCCGACCTCCAATTACATCATCACATGGTTTTTTTCCACGATAGCAAATATAGCCAACCGTGACTAGGTATTCACCTATAACTCGTAGGTGACAGGAAATCACCTGACTTCTACCGAACTAAACATGGCTAAGCATTTATTTGATCTTAGACCTACAAAGGGTTTAAGGTATATATATTTCTGGACAAGAAGGTCATATGCATCAAGTGTTTTCAAACAACTCCTACAACATAATGCATCAAACATAAAGAACTCAAATTGGTATTTGTAAAACGTAGGAGGCTTAGAATGCTTCAGGGTTTGCCTTTCAGAAAAGCTGAGGGTCGGTGGTCGGGGCACATAGGCAATTCTTCTAGGGCCTGTCCTTCGCCTTCTGAAACTTCCTGCTACTGGGTCTCCTGTTGGTCCTCTTCTCCCATGGCCTCAAACTCTACAAGTGTTAACCCCTCCGACGATCCTATATGCATGAAGATATAGATAAATACAGGGAATGCACAAGGGATAATATGAATGATATGGTGCAATGCATATATATATATATACATTCTTAACCAACATGATAACAAGGTAATACTATGATTAACTAAATTTTACTGAGTAGGTGTATATCTCTTCCCTAGTACAAGAAACATATGCTCACCACTTTCTAGCAACCTAAGGTAAAGTTGTTCATCATCAGTAAGAGACCTAAAACCTACAGCTAACAACTTATCTCAATTAGCCTAAGCATCTAAACAACATGCCTTAAGTCTATGCAAAGCAACCAAGCCAAGAAAATTAGATGCAAGTGAATTACAGAGCAATAATTAACTAAGTGCATACAACAAATTGAAACTGGGCACAACCAATTGCACCATCAGGTTATATATATCCCAACATGTTAAAAAATATAATGGTTGCACCCAAACCAATTTTTTTATAAGCCTTTGTTAATTCATTTAATTTAGATGAAAACTGGAACTGCTACTTCCAATGCTCAATAAATTCTCAGCAGCACATACAAGCTCTCAAAAGCCTTATGTTAAAATTTCATGCCATTTAGACAAGTACAACAACATCTACAAAAATGGCAAGTTACATGGTGTATTACCACTTAAATATACTTAGCATAGTGAAAAGTGTCAAGCAACAAATTTACTATTTTTCTTAGATTCCTCATAATACTAGAACACTATGGAAATTATTTCATGCCCATAAGTTACATAAATCTACCACAATTAATTTCACAAGAGCTAGCATTTAATTAAGCCAAAATAAGAAGTTATATTCCAAGCAGGCCAACTGTATGTTTAACATTTTCCTAGCTCCAGCGTGTCAAAGCAAGACTAGCAAAATTGGAATCACGTTTTTAGCATCTCCCAAACTCAAGTTATGCATTTTTAAGGTTAATGGGAATAAACAAGATAATTTAAACAAGGCATAAAACTATAGCACATACCAAGTTTCATATTTTTAACAGATAGTACTCATCAAGATGAAGCTAACAAAATTTGGTTCACTCAATTTGGACACTTCTAGATTTAATTACACATTTTACAAGTTTGCATCAAAATCTGGAAAACATTTAAAGAAAATATCAAATTCGGTTAATGCTACGTGCACCCAGTGCAGCTGACTGCTGGGACCCGAGATCAACCTAGCCCCACCTGTCACCGGCACAGAAGCAGGGGCGGCACTTTGACCGGTCATAGCTCATCGACGACAAGGTCTCCAGCGATAAGGTCACCACCAACGTGCTCTCCACCTCCGTGCGCATCTACTGGAGGGGTTGGCCGGCCAAAGGGCTCACCAGAGCTAGCTTGACGGCGGCCATGGTAGGAGGCAGAGGCATGTGGTGGTGCCATTGCCATCTCCGGTAATGTTGAGCTCGCCTAAGCTCGGTGGAGACTCCAGTGAACCTTAAGGAAACTCGGGTTAGGGTTAGGGGCTACGGTGGAGCGGCGGTGTGGTCCGGCCGCGTGCAAGGTGTCACGGTGGCGAGAGTGCGGCGGTGCTCCGGCCATCTCTAGCCATGGTGACCTCGAACGAGCTCGGCTACGGCTTCAAGGTGGTCTAGCGGAGATCTAGGGTTAGGATTGGGGCCCTAGGATTCGCCGGCGGCGCGAGCGCAACGGTGGTGCTACGGCGTTCCGGTGAGCTGGGTGACGGCATCATGCATCCACCTTCCCCATGAACTTCACCGTCTCTAGGCGGTGCTCTAGCTCTTGAAAGTAAGAGAGGAAGGAGACCGGGCAAGCGTGGACACGGTGACGTGCGTGGTGGCGGCGCGGCCGGTTCACAGCGGTGCGGTGCCCGTCCTTCCTCCGGCGAGGCCGGCATCGGCCAACAACCAGCGGCTATAGCATCTACTAGATCTTGCGACTACGGAACAGGAGAGAGGGAGAACGGTGCATGCGCGAGGTGGTCTGGCCATGATGAGCTCAAGCTCGACGGCGCACGGCGGCCATGGTGATAGCTCTAGGGGCTTTACCTATGCTCGATGGGTGTTGCTAGCGGGTCGACAGTGCATCGCACGACATGGCGGAGCTATGGGCGAGACGAATCGAGCGATGGTGCAGCGTAGGTGGCTAGCGCGGCCGACAAAGTCACGATGGCGGCGGCGCTGTGCTTTTCTCCGCTTCGATGAGCGCGAGCGAGAGAGAGGGAGAGCGAGAGAGTGAGTGAGCGTGCGAGAGTGTGGGCACCCGTGTTCTCTCCCTTCTAGATTGACAGAGCAGGCTGGCGTCGGCGTACGGCCACCACGCGGCAAAGGTCAGTTTTAGGCCTGATGCAGGTGTCTGAAACCTAATTTTCAACCCTCTAAAACTCCTAAACCGTGGTGCATTTTAGTAAACTAGTTTCACCATTTTGTAGAGCTACACGAGTACTCCAAGTTTGCTTAACGAAGTTTTGTCAAATTCCAAATGGTTTTCAAACTAAAAATCCCCAAAGTGGGCTACTTCGAAACTGTAATTCAGACAATGACAGAAAAAATTCAAGTTTCAAAACATCATTAAGTTGAATTGTGGAAGCCCTACTTGATCAATTTAGGCACTGATTCAGCTCTTGCCCCTTAAACAATGTTTGTTCTACATGACCTAAACTATAACTTTTATTTAGGTCCCACGAACATGCAAGCTCTCTAAGTAATTGGTTAAGATAGGCCAAACAATCGACTTAATAAAGGTAATTCCAGTAGAACTATCACTTAGAAGCATTTTTAGGCCAACTCATGAATATAAACTTGGTTCCATTTTTCATTCTAAGTATGTCTAAGTTATTTTACTGGCCAAACAACACCCACTTGTATTAACCAAGCATGCCCATAAGGCATATACATGTATAATTAAGCATCTCATGAAGATAAACCTAGAGTAAATAAATGCTAGTCTTATACTTATGCTCATGAATGAGTGGATGATGCTTATGCTCATGCAATGTAAGTGAAAAATGCAAGCTTAACACTGGGGTGTTACTGATGATGGCTATACACATGTGCAACTTCATCTTATGACTACCTTTCTTTGTCTTAGGATTTTGAAGTGCAGTCCACTCCAATCAACTTTGCGAACATTAGAGAGAATCTCACCTCGTTTATTGTGTCGCAGATCCTTAACGAAACAGGCGAGTTTCATTGTTCACATACAAAACCATGATGAAGTGCCTGGTATATATGTTCATTTGATCTATGAACTGTGTTTGGAGCCTGTGAGATACAATTGGAGCTGTGAGATATAAACATGTGA